GACTAATACTTTTGGTGGTCTATAGCGACTGAAGAGTCTGCGTAGATATTAACACGTTGCCGATGTTATCATAGAAAATCATCCTGAATTCACGAATTTTAAGTAACTATAAACAATGATGAATGTCCATTTAGGAGTCTTGAAACGGACCAGCAAAATCAATGTGAATGCAAGATCATGGTTTTATGGATCAGGTTACGCATTTAATTTACGAATAGTTGACTGCATTAGCTGCCATGATCACAATGATTGCATTTTTTTACGTACTCCTCTATGCCGTCATGCATTACAGGCCAATAAAAGTAACAAGTGCGTCGTATCATTTGTCGAATGCCTGAATATGTAGTTGCTTCGAGATTATAAGGCGTAAGCGTGTTGGAATTGTTTCTCAAAATTAAAGTGTGGTCAGCAATAGTCAAGTACTCATAACGACGATTTAAGTCATCCATTTTGTAAGCGGTCTATGACTTCTGCGAAAATTCCATCGCTAAATATTGCACGTTGGAGTTCTTGTTGTGCTGTGGGAATTGTATACTGATTTGTCAATGACCTGTTTAAGCTTTGTTTCCATTTTTTATAGTATACCATAGCTACTATTTCTTAGAAGTCTGGATCTGTTACATTTTGACAGGTTTTTTGTACTAGTCTTGACAGTACATCGGTTTGTACAAATTTCTCAACGTTGACATATTATATTTCAAAGCCGTAACGGATCAAGCAAAGTGTCTATTGTTTCAGACAATTTGTTGTGCGTTTATTAATCCTTTGTGTTCAATGTCTTGAGTAATGCTAGAAGTGGGTGATGGTCCGTTTGTGATGGTCCACATAAAATGGCGGTCGTATACGAATTTTTGAAAATATTCGATTGCAGTCATTAGCGCTAGAGCTTCTTTTTCAATTTACCTGTAATTTTGTTGAGCCTTTGTCAAAACCTTTAAAAACTGCTTTTACTTGACTATTGGATGCACGTTACAGCAAAACACCACCGATGCCAATCGAACATATTGCAACAGTTAAGGTTTGCTTGGGATTGTAGTGAGTCAATAAAAGTCATCCAGTGAGAGTGCGCTTAATGTCCTTAAACGCTTTCTTTATCTTCAATGTCCAAACAAATAAAATCTTTCTTGAATCATGCTTCGAACAATGTCTTGAGCCAATAAAGGTTTGATACAAATTTTCTATAGTAATTTGCTAAGCCCAAAAATGAGCGAACTTCTTTTGTATTGTTAGGAACCTTTATTGTTTGAATGGATTTGAAACATGTGCTGGATCTAACTCCCATAATACCATTGAAATAAAAAATCCAAAGCATTTGATTACTGGATTGTAAAACACATTTCTTCATTTGTAGTCAAAATTCCTATTTTTTTAGACCGGTTAAAAAAACGGGGTGTAAATATGCGCTGTATTCTTCATGTCCATAACCCTATACTAGTAACTAAACTTTAATTCTTTTATTTACATAGTTATTAATAATATGATCCGGAAAACAATTATTAATTAAAATGTTCTTTACAATCTCAATATTCGTATTATGAAATTGTTCGTTAGAAAGTAAAATTGCATGGTCTACTAAATTGTAAATCGTATTAAAAAGTTGAATAGGCTGATAAAACGAGGTAAAGATTTAATAACTAATGATATTAAAACGAATGTAGTATACAAGATTAATTGTGAAAATTGTAATGCATCATACATTGGACAAACAAAAAGACATTTATGCACTAGAGTGAAGGAACATGCCAGCAATATTAAATTACATGAGTCTAATCATTCGGTTTTGAGCAAACACAGATGTGATTTTGGGCATAACTTTCATTGGAAATCACCGACAATTTTACATAACGAAAAACATGTAAGAAAGAGAGAGATTGCTGAAATGTTCTTCATAAAGAAGCATGACAATACAGTTAACCTACAGAAAGATACCGAGAATTTGACAAACATTTACGACAAAATAATAAAGATTGTTTAGTGGCGCGTTTCAAATTTAGTCGTTGACGAAACATCATAATGATGGGACGTGCTCCTCTTTTAACTTTTAACTTTTAACATCATAACGATGGGACGTGTTCCTCTTTTAACTTTTAACTTTCGATTTTAAATAACACCAGTGTGATGTTACGTTAACCTCGGTTTAATTGATGGGTATGTTTATAAAATTTATATTTATATTATTAATTTAACACTTAAATGAGTTTTCGTATGTTAAAAACTATTGTGTAATGTGTATGTGTTGTAGAAATTTCACTTGAAAAGGACCACAACCAAATGGTCGAAACGTCGTGAAATAATCAAATAAAATTTGCTAGTTACGTCGAAGTTAAGTTTTTTAAGCTTATTTTCACCACTAGCGACCAATATTAATTTTGATTAATATTAATTTTAATTGATCGTAAATAATTTCAATTTTTAATTCTAGTTTTGAGACTTTCGCGGCCATTGGAATCATCAATGCAAAAGGTTTTCGGATAGATGCCGCGTGGTTGAACAGCGTAATGCTGACGTTTCGTAAACGTTGCAGTTTGCATCTTCAGGGCTGAGAGCTCCGATATTGAGCCTTCTTGGGTTGTGGTCCTTATATTTATTATGGGAGGTTTTTCATCTACGGAAAAGAATCCTGTTATGACGCCGTCTAGTGGTGTGAGTGTATATTAAGGATAATGTGCCAATTAAGGTTTGTTTGATAACCTTTGTCGCGGTTGAGGGATGTCGGGATGTTTCAGAATTTCTAGAGCTTCACGATGTTTTCTGGCGAAATAACTTTGCGAGGAAGCTAGTCTGGTTGCTTTGTCGTATTGTACCGAGTGTCTCGTCTTCATCCAATGTTCTACCAAGGCTTATTGACTAAGATGGCAGTACCTGGCACTCCATTGGTATTTCTTAATTCGTGTACTGATCTTTCTCCCAGTTTCTCCTATGTACATTTTTCCACAGGAGCAAGGAATTCTGTATACACCTGGTGTTTCTAAGTGTGGTCTCCGGTCCTTGGGATTAGGAAGTGATTGCGCAATCTTATTTTGAGGTTTGGAAATTACTTTGATATTGTGTTTACCCAGAATCTTGCTAATGCGTTTTGTTGTACCCTAAAGATATGAAAGGCTCGTCCATTTTTTATCTTCTTTTTCTTCTTTTTTTTCACTTAATGTATTCATATTTGTAGAACTGGAGATTTTATTTTTTAGCCTTCCAGTTGTTTGATGGATGTCTTTGGTGTTGTACCTATTCTTGGTCAAGACTTGATTGATATGTTCTAATTTTTCATTCAGGGAAGTTGGTTCAGCAATTGTTAAGGCTCTGCATATTAATAAACTGATGACAGAATTTTTCTGAGTCGGGTAATCATGAGAAATGGCATGGAGGTAACGATCCGTATGTGTCGATTTTCGATAAACCCGATGACCTAAGGTGCCGTCTTCGTTCTTTTTAACTAACACGTCTAGAAAGGGAAGCTGATTATTCTGTTCTATTTCCATTGTGAACTGAATACTGCGGTGCTGGGAATTTAGAAAGTCGAGAAATTGAGGAAGCGTTTCTCTGCCATGACTCCAGATGACAAAGGTGTCATCAACATATCGAAACCATGTAGAGCGTTTGAGAGGTGCGTTTTTCAGGACTTTATTCTCAAAATGTTTCATGTAAATGTTATCAATGATAGATGAAATGAGGAATCCCATTGCTGCTCCGGAGGTTTGTTCATAGAACTCTCTTTGAAATTGGAAATAGGTTGAGGTTAGGCAATGTATTAATGGAAAAAAATTTGAGTCAATATTTTCAGATTTTTTAATAATATCTAGAGTGTCTTGTACTGGAACATTTGTAAACAAAGATACTACATCAGAACTGACAAAAATGTCATTAGTTTTTGTTTTGAGTTTGGTAATCCTGCTCACAAAGTCTGTTGAGTTTTTAATGTGAAAATTATTGAGTCCTGTATGGGTTTGGAGAGGTTTGACAAGAAACTGAGCTAATTGATAAATGGGTTTTCCGATTTTGCTAACAGTAGGGCGTAATGAAACTGAATCTTTATGGATTTTTGAGAGACCATAAAGTCTGGGAGCTGAAGAGTCTTAGGGGGTTAGCTTTTTAGTTGTTTGGGGAGGAAGACCTGCATTCTCGACAAGCGAAGAAGTTTTTTTCTCTATGCTGGAGGTCGGATTGCGTTTAAGTTTTTTATAGACATTGTGATCTGAGAGCATGGCCTTGATTTTGTTGCAGTATTCATCTTTGTCCATAAGTACCGTAGTATTTTCCTTATCTGCCGGTAGACAATAATCTTACTGTTCTATTTGAGACTACGGAGTACTAGTCGTTCTTCCCTGCTTATATTTTGACTCGGAAGTTTGACTTTGTAAAGAACATTAGTATTTTGATTTCTAATATTGTTGCTTGTTTTAGCGGGAAGGTGGAAGATAGCTGTTTCAACTTGGCTGATAATTTCTTCCGTAGGAATATTAGTGGGGGTAATGGAAAAATTATGGCCTTTGGCATGGATAGAGATTTCAAAAGAAGAAAGAGCTTAACTGCTAAGATTTTTTACTGTATGTGTGAGTACTGGAGTTAAGATTTCTGGTTTGATTTTATTATATTTGTTTTTCTGTATTCGTGTTCTGGCTTCAGCCGAACGAGTAGCTTATTCATATGTTACTCTATCTAGGATTTGCCACAGTTCGTGATCTAATGAACTGGAGAGGAGAAGGTATAAATTAAGAAGTTTTAGAAAAATTTCAGCTAAACCTTTTTTGGTTGCTGAAATTCTTTCTTTTGACTAACCTCAACGACGCTTGTCGGAAAATGGTTTTGGCTTGTTTAGAAGGAGGTAAGGAGTTCTTTATTTGGAACATTTTGAGAATAAAGTCCTGAAAAACTCACCTCTCAAACCCTCTACATGGTTTCGATATGTTGATGACATCTTTGTCATCTGGAGTCATGGCAGAGAAACGCTCTCTCAATTTCTCGATTTTCTTAATTCCCAGCACCGCAGTTGCATTCAGTTCACAATGGAAATAGAACAGAATAATCAGCTTCCCTTTCTAGACGTGTTAGTTAAAAAGAACAAAGACGGCACCTTAGGTCATCGGGTTTATCGAAAATCAACACATACGGATCGTTACCTCCATGCCACCTCTCATCATCACTTGACTCAGAAGAATTCTGTTATCAGTTCATTAATATGCAGAGCCTTAACAATTTCTGAATTAACTTTCCTTAATGAAGAATTAGAACATCTCAATCAAGTTTTAACCAAGAATAGATACAACAACAAAGACATTTATCAAACAACTGAAAGGCTGAAAAATAAAATCTCCAGTTCTACAAATATGAGTACATCAAGTGAAAAAGAAGAAGATCAAAAATGGACGATCCTTCTGTATCTTCAGGGTACAACAGAATGCATTAGCAGGATTCTGGGTAAACACAATATCAAAGTAATTTCTAAAAATAAGATTGCGCAACCACTTCCTAATCCCAAGGACCGGAGACCACACTTAGAAACACTAGGTGTATACAGGATTCCTTGCTCCTGCAAAAAAGTGTACATAGGAGAAACTGGGAAAAAGATCAGTACATGAATTAAGAAACACCAACGGAGTCGCAGGTACTGCCGTTTTAGTCAATCAGCCTCGGCAGAACATTGGATGAAGACGGGACACTCGGTACAATACGACAAAGCAACCAGACTAGCCTCGCAAAGTTATTTTGCCAGGAAACATCATAAAGCCCTAGAAATTTTGAAACATACTGACAACCTCAACCGCGACAAAGGTTATCAAACAAACCCTATTTGGCACACTGTCTTTAATATACACTCACACCACTAGGCGGCGTCATAACGGAATACCTTTCAGTAGATAAAAAATCTTTCACAATATAAGGATCACAACCCAAGAAGGCTCAGTGTCGTAGCTCTCAGCCCTGAAGATGCAAACTGCAACATTGACGAAATGTCGGCATTATGCTGTTCAACCACGCGGCATCCATCCGGAAACCTTTTGCATTGATGATATCATACTTATATTATTATTAATACTGAGAGCCGATAAAAATATTTCTTATGTGATTTTATTCACGCATGGGCCTAATCATGGCGCTATTTACTAACATCTATTAAAAGGCAAATGAAAAATATAGGATCAAAAGGATTTTTTCGCGTTATCACTTTTAATTTTTTGTTACTAATTAATACACTAATTAATTTTTTGAACACTACTGTGATCAGACATAATGGTAGATTGTTAATTGATTGATTTATGAAACCCACTTGCTCGGGTAGATATATTAATTATTATTCTAATCATCCTTTTAAATACAAAAAGAATACCATTTTTAGTCTTGTTGATCATGCAATTTTATTATCGGACGACTGTTTTCATAAAAAGAACATCTCTAAAGTAAAATCGATATTGACAAATAATTGTTTTCCGTCGGATATTATTAATAAGTTTGTAAATAATAGATTAAATTGCTTAAGACACGAAATAATGACGATCGCAATGTGGATAACGATAATTCAGTTAGTAAAAAATTTGACCGTATTATACAATTACCGTATGTCAAAGAACTTAGTGAGGATGTTTCGAGATTATTATGATTTACTGGCATGCAAAGCGTTTACTGTATACCGAAAAAGTTAAATACATTAATTAGACGCGTCAAAGATCCTTTACCTTCAGAAGAAAAAACAGAAGTAGTATATAAAATTAATTGCGCAAATTGTTCCACATCATATATTGGTCAAACTAAACGACGATTAGGCACACGTATAAAAGAACATTTTAATAATTTTAAAGTACGCAATAGTAATTACTCAGTCATAAATAATCATAAATTGGATAATGGTCATGATTTTGATTGGTCTGCTCTAGAAATTTTACATCATGAGAAATACGTAAGTAAACGAAAAATCGCGGAGATGTTTTTTATCAAAAAATTTGACAACACAATTACAAAAAGACACGGATAATCTAAATAATGTTTACGAGAAACTAATAAAGGTCGTTTAGTTTGATAAAAATAGTGAATATATAAGGAGCTCGAAATCGACACGATAACATAGTTATTTCGTTTTATACTATCATGTTATTATATGATGTCATATTCTAAGATCGAATTTTTGTTTTTTAAAAAAAGTTGTGATTTACTTTGATTTAAGAACATAGGTATGTTTGCGTATTAACGTGTGAAAATTTCTATATATTTTATTATTTTTATATTTATTTTTCTAATAATTGTTAATATTATATTATAGCATTTGATAAGGGCCGAAAATCACGGCCAAAACGTGAAAATTTAATAAAATTACTTATTTGCCAGAGTTGATCGATTGAATTATATTATTATCATTTCTTAATATTAATAAGGCAAATAAAATGAGCAAAAAAACCTTGTTTTTGGAAAAATTTAATTTTTAAATCTAATTACAAAAACTTAAATTTCTTAAACGTTTCGAACTCTACTTATTGTTAGTCTTCTTCAGTACGCAAAAAATGTTCTAATAAAAAGTCAGTATACAATTGTCAAAATAAAGCACATAGTTATGTCAAAATAAAAGGCGCAATACATTAACTATACAATAAAATTATTAAATAAAATTTAATACAAAAAAACCCAATTAGAAGCAAAACACCGTATTAAAGTAAGTTATCAGGCTATTTCAATTTATTCCAGTTTTGAGACTTTGACGACTTGACACACTGCTCTTAATATACACTCGCCATTATGACGCCTCCTAGTGGTGTACTAGGCGGCGTCATAACGGAATACTTTTCCGTAGATGAAAAACCTGCCCCAATATATATAAGGACCACAACCCAAGAAGGCTCAGTATCGGAGCTTAAACATTTGCTCAAACAGATACGTAACTCATCGTTAGTCGGCGAAAGACTATCAGTTTGGTAATGACCGTGTCCATCATTTCCAAGTTAGTTAATAGTTGTGTTATTATAAACTATATTCCAAAAAGTTATATTATAAAATAAAAATAACATTATATATATGTAAGAATTAAAAAATTAAATAAGGATTACTTATGATTGTTCCGAATAAATTAAATGTGAAAATGCTTCTAATTGTTATTGAATTTAGTACTTGACTGATGTCATGTCAATTAGAAAAGTTGAATATATAGGTGACAAAGCGCAAACATAAACATTTTAATAAATTTTAAAATTCGCTACTTCTTCTAGAATGTCAAAGTAAGCGTTGTCAAGCAATTCGGTGTCTGTATTATTATTTATACTATGTTTTTGTTCCTTTATGTGTATCATCTCCGAGATAAGTCTTTTATGTAATTCGACTCAATATCAAGTATTTTAACGTTATCCCGATCAAAAACATGTTTTTTTATTTACAATATGTTCTGAGATCACCAAATGTTAGAAGAATTAAATTTTATGTTATTAATATGCTCTTTTAATCTAGTACGTAATTGTCTTTTGGTTTACCCTACATACAAAATCTCACAGCCTTAACGTCGAAAAATAGTGTGAGTGTATGGATGAATGTATGTGTGTTTCACGGGTAATACTACATTAGTACGGAGGTCATCAATCGGGATTGATGGGGAGAGAGAGAGAGAGAGAGAGAGAGAGAGAGAGTTATTGTTAAAAGATAGTTAAGCGTCCCGATTGGTTAATACAATATTTTTATCAATAATAATAATAATAAATTAGGGTCATGGGATTAAAAGCTTAAAAGTATTATCTGCTATATTATTGTTGATTAATATAACTATAATTAATAAACAATCTTAAGAATGTATAATTCAGTTCTCCAAAATAAATGCAACATATATATTTGTATGTATATCGGCTGTAGAGCCTACCGCGATGTTTTTTGCGTTAACAAAAATTAATTTTTCGTTAATTAGGAACAGTATCCTTGGTTTGGATCTCTAATTCCTAGGTATTAAAATGCCGATTTTTTATAACGTGAGTACAATTGTTCTAAACTAGTACTAATTATTAAGTCTTAATTATTTATTCATCGGGTGAGAACGAGAATTATAATTTTTCCTAAAATCCGTGTTTGTTAAAATACGTGTGCTCTGAGATGTGAAGTCTATGAAATACAATAATTATGTCAAAACCTTTATATGATGTCAATGGTCTACTAATATTTTAACAATACTGAACCTCTATCTCTTACTTGTGCCTTCCCAATCAAATGTGTTTATTTCTACTATATGTTCCGAGATTACCGAATGTTTTACCGAATCCAATTTAATATTGTTAATATGTTCTTTTATTCTTATCCGTAATTGTCTTTTCGTCTATTCCACGTAAGACGCGTTGCAATCATTACAATTTATTTTGTAGATGACATTCGAGTTAGATGAAATATTATTTTTATCTTTTTGTACTTTTATGCTTTTATCTAATTTATTTAAACAACGGTATCCAATTGTTAGATTCGTTTTTTTTAACTGTGGAAACTATCATTTCAGAGATATTTTTAACGTATGGGATAACAAAACTAATGATTGGTTAGGGTTTTTGTTTAGAGCCCTAGGCTTCGACCAATGGAGAATTTGTTCTTATCAAGGAGGTTGATATATTTGTTACCTTCTCGAGTTATGACTTAAACAGATATCGCGTACGTTGATCTGTCAAGCGAGGATTGTTTAGAGTTAGCTTTTGAAAATTTTTATTGATTTTCAAGTGGTTTGTTGAAAAGAACAGTTGATTATAGTTTTATATTTATCTAGGCGTAAAGCTTGTTTTGCTTCGTCTGTCACATCATGGCTTATCTGCGGGTCTGCGATATTTTGAATAACACCTTACGTTCCCCGAAAGAAAGAATCGTGAAGTATGCAGGACGTAATGCTAGAGTAAATCTTGTATAGAGAGCTGTCAATTACTTTATCTTTTAAGGCATCGCGAGTTATAGTTTATAATTTATAGATTGGTCTGTTTGGCTCTCGCGGTTTGTATATATCTTTTATTTTTGACGATTTAGCTCTCTCGGATTATGTTTACTTTGCTTGTCAGATCGTACGCTTATGTGAGTTTTCTATACGCCTGCGATATTTCAGATATCGCATTGCGTTCTCCGAAAGAAAAGAATCGTAGAGACCGCAGGATGTAACAATTCTAAATCTATAATAAATATATTACTTATTCTGGCAATTAATCGATTTATGACATTCAGAATTGCATAATATAATTAAATTTTCCTTACATTCTTGTATCCTTGAGAAAAGTGTATTTATAATTGTCAAATGTATTGTGCAATTCTAAATGTTATAAATCGACTGATTGCCAGAATGAGTAATATACTTATTACAGATTTAGGATTTTAGGATATTTTGATAATTATTGCTTCCTTTTGTTATATTCCATATAGTATGTCGTTTGAAATCTTTTATAATATTCTGTACATGTGTCAACAAAGTTTCTTATAACGTGTCTAATTTGAAAATATTTTTTTAAAATGACAAGGTGATCAAAATTCTGTTTTTTCTCAGGTGATTGCTGCGAAACAAGATAATTTTATTTTATACTAATTATTAAAAAAATATTAAAATATTTATGTATATTTAGAAAAAAAGTGTATTTTGTTTTTAATAAATTTT